TAATTTTTCCCATTCCAGTTATTGTCCTGGATCACCCAAACTAAAAATTCGAGTTTGTTCCGGTTTCGTTTCTTCGGCCATGACTGAACCTCTTCAAACCAGTTCGAAGCCCTGAGAAGAAACGGGTAAATGCGGCTTTCAGCTCCATCTGATATTCCAGATTTCACTAAAAGATGGTGTCCTTCACCTGGCAATGTGAGTGGTAAAGGAAAAAGTATCCTATGTGGTGGACTATTTTGTGTGTTAGTAATATCTTTTTATGTTCACAAAATTATTGTAAAGGATAAATGGGGAAGGGTAAATGAAAATGTTTTGAAGGGTGAGTCACAAATATTAGATGTAATTTTACAAAACAGTTCCTTATCTTGCTCTCCTAGTCTGTCTACAGATTGATACTCTAGAAATTAGTCAACAGGTTAAGAAGATTGCCTGAGAATTTTAAAGTATAGGTTTTATATTTTCAGTATGTTTCTAAGTGTTCTTGAGTAATTGTTCTGATCTGGAGGCATTTCAAACAAATTTTATTCCTGTTTCTTGCCTAGCTCGTTGTGCTTAAACATAAGACAGTTAATGTTTGGAACAATGGAGTTCTAAAACATCAGTAATATTACAGGAAATCAGAGCTATAAGGGAGCTTAGAAAAATCACATTGTTTCCTCCTTCCTATGACCATCGGCTGTATAATTGGGTAAAAAAGGGGTCTATAGTATAAAGTGGTTTCCCTAGGATCGATCAGCTAGTAAGCAACTAAAATTGACATAGACCGACTCCAGGAAAATATCCCATGGTTTCTTGATAGTGAACATTTTAAATAGATATAAAAAGCACGTATATCAATTTCTAGTAATATTGTTTTTTTCTACTTCCCAGAGTAGAATGTTATTGTAGACTCTAAGGGCGAAACTGGTTAAGAAAAGCATAAAGGCTAGCTTACATCGGCATGTTGAACAAAAATAAATACTTTAAAAGAGAATAGCTAAAACAGTAAAAAGATAAGGAAAACTAAAATGGGAAACCTCAGATGCTTGAACTTATATCTAGTAATAAAACAATGGTTTAAGGCACAGCTATTCATTCTTTCATAGTTACTTGTGCCAAGCCGATTAACACTGTGGAATTGTTTATCATTTCTTTATTTTGGGAGGTGAAATAGAGAAAAACGTGTCCTTATACGTGGATTTTGTAAATGATTTGATTATTCAGTCTGTTTGGGGTCGATAGATTGAACAACCCAATGACTAGGAATTGGATTTCACAGGATGCCAAATGTAATAAATGTGGATTTATTTCGTATCCTTAACATTTCTGTGGGAACAAAGAGGAATGATTGGAAATGAACTATCTTGTGTACAGAGGGCCATTATTTTGCAAGTGAGTGTCATGTTAACAATAGGAGCTGTCTTGTAAAAATAGCTATTTACCTAGAGCAAGTAACTGTTTATGTCAGCTACAGTATAAAGTATTCTCATCTTATTCCTTTTACTACATGTGTAACTCCTGTGGAATGGGAAGGTGAATTGTTCAGGGCTGTTAAATTTCGTAATTGAAAGACTGTATTAAACTCTTCCTAATGATGCTTACAGCTATATGATGATTTACTAAAAGAAAAGGAGAGAGGAATGAAAAATATCGTACCTTTTACAATGACTAGTTTGTGGCTCCCGAATTCTGTAGATCAGTGCTTTTGCAAAAGCAAAAGAAGACCTATCACTGATGTCATACACAATGACAAACCCGTCTGCCCAATGGAGTTTACTTGTGAGGGAGAATTGTGTTTTCTGGCGCTGAAAATAAACCAAGCACATTGCAGATGGTGGAATCTGAAACACCTGTATTTTACACTTTAAATTGTTACTTAATGGAGACCTTTTTTTATTTGGAAGAGACTTCAATAAATGAAATACAGCCACAGAAAATCACACAACACTGATATTTTCTAAAATGTAATTTTCTTTGTTTCTTTTTC